TACGCGCCGGTCTTTATTTTACTATAACGGTGAAAGGAGGTGTCTTAGGAAGCAGGCATGCCTGCACTTGGAAGGCTGAGGCAGGGGGATCCTGAGTTTGAAGGCTACAATAGTGATCAAAGCTAGCCCGTTCTGCATGGCCTTGATCTTGTCTCATTACAGAGGGAAAGGGAAGGAGAAGAGATTTGAGAGCTGCAGTGTAATTGGCGTGTCGCCCTGTCATTTCCTGTGTGAACAGTTTGCGGGCTGTCCATTGGACGACACAGCTGGCCTGAGCCTGCTTCCCTTTTCCAGTGTCCTTCTGTGCACTGTGCTCACACCGCCAGCTGTCCTCGTCCTTACCGGGGTTTCTGTCCCTCCCTGGGCTGCCAGAAACACCAGCCTTTGGGGAAGGTGGCTTCTTCTCAGCGCACACCTAGGTCCTACACCAGTGTGCTCCTGTCATGTGCCTTTTCCAAAACTCACACAAGTTAATTTCCCACTACGTGGGCTCAGCGTGGGTCTCGGCGCATGCCACAGTGTGAAAATTTGGGGTAGGATGGGGGTAAGTGAGGTTAGGGAACAATGACCAGCATGCGCTGTGTACATGTAAGACATCAATGAAAGCATGCAAGGTCAAGGACATGAAGCACTGGGGACCTTTAGATGACGCTCTCGGTTCAGACGCCGCAGCTCAAGCTGGAGGACGCAGCTGCTCTGATCACCTCACAGCTGCAGTGCTCTGTCCCCGCGTCCTCTCAGAGCTCTCTTGCTTCACTCTCTTACTCCTACCTGTGTGGGTGTCTCTGAAGCCATAGGCAGAGCCAGAGGGTAAGAACTGAACTGGCTTTCTCCTGTTTTCCGGGCCGGGAAAGTTGTCCTGTTGTCCTAGTAAATATCTATTCTTTTCTGGGCTATCCTCATCACTGTGTTCCCATAGCAGACACATAAAGACACTCCCCTTTAAAAAGAGTAATGAATTACATGCCTGTTGGTGGATGAAAAGGAACTCTCTGAAGGATTTAAAGCCTGGTTTGAAAAGCCAAGGAAACCCAGTCGTAGAGCCACCATCTCCATTTAAACGCACTGCTGACCCCTGGCGGCCTCTCCGCGCGGCTGACTCAGAGCTGAAGCGCTGCGGTGGTGTTCACTGTCAACTCCCGCTGGGGCTGCGGAGCTGTGTGTGAGCTGCAGGCTGGCACTGGTGTAGGCTAGTGCCTTTCCAGGTACTTTGTCTCTGAGCTAAGCAGTGCAGGGCAAACAGTCTGGTGGCTCTCCGCTGCTCCCTCCAGCGCACAGCAGACTTGAACGTCCCCAGTAGGCCTCATTCTGTATAGAATGATTTTGTTCAGACCAAGAGTCTGACTTTTCATTTTAATGCTGATGATTGTGTGCTACATATAATGAAGTCCACCTTTGCGTTTGCTTTTCCTTGCCACGACAGTACGATTTCACACTTTATCCCCAACTCAGGACCGTGTGTTGAAGCTCCCCGAGCAATTCCTGAGATGTGGCTGGGTGACAGTGTTGTACCTTTGGGCAACATCCGCCCTGCCCCTGGCGTTAGGCAGCCTGTTAGATAAGCCCTGTGCCCTCAGACCTCTGTCCTCTCCATGAGCCGGGGGTGTTGTTTCCAGGGCCCTCTGTAAACTGGCATGCTGGAAAGCAGGGCGCCGGAAGTCCAGCATTCCCGTAATCTGTGGAGGACACTCTTCTTCCCAAGTCAAACCTGAGTGCACGCTAATCTCGTTTCTACAGGGAAGAGAGACATCCCCTGGCTTACAGTGCTGGAGGGCTCTGCCCCGTCACCTTGTATCTGCGGGTGTGAACCTGAGCACTGGCGTAGTCTGTAGGTCATGGCCACGGCTTCGAGCTTGAGACAGGCGGTCACTTTCGTTTTCTTCCTTACCTCAGAGACTCCCTCGGTGTTCTATAACGAACACCTGGTTTTATGTTCAGCAAGAGCACATAGGTGAGCTCCTGTAGGTGTTGAGCTGCACATAGGTGCTTGTTTATTGCACGTTTGTGCATATGATTGAGCGTGTGCAGGCACACGCCCCTGAGCACCATGCCATGGTGCACACGGAGTCAGAGGACAACTCGAAGGTGTCTGTTCCATCTGTCTGCTATGTGGGTCTTGGGAGTTGAACCCCGATTCTGAAGCTTGGTGCCAAGCACCTTTGGCCACCGAGCCATCTTGCTGCCTTTGTTGTCTTTGAGACAGGGTCTCACTGTGTAGCCCAGGATGCTGTCAGACTCACAGCAGTCCCCCTGCCTCAGCCTGCTGAACGCTGCAGTGATGGTGTGTGTGTGGGGGGCTGGCTTGTGTGGCTGCTTCTACAGTGCCTTAAGGTCGCATCTTGTCAGGTTGGAGCAGATGTGATAAGGTGAGCCGTGTGTCCTGCCGCGAACCCACGTTCCTGTGGCGTTACGTGCCGGACGAATAGGTGGAGCTTTGGGGATTGTTTCTGACAAATCACAAAATGATTGTCATGGTTTCAGACCTGGAGAAAATGATTGGCTTAGAAACGTGGCTTCCTGAAGGGACAGACACAAATGCCCATTACTTGGTTACTTGGTAGAGAGCTGAGTGGCCTTTGTTTTCTGTGCCCATTCAGTTGTGCCCCTGGCTGTGTGTCAGCTGACCCATTTTCATCAGAAGGCCTTCTCTGTGTTCTAGTTCCCTGACCTGTGGCAAACCTGTAGCTAGTCCTGAGCGGAGATGTGTGCTCTGGCCAGGTCGTTGACAGATTTACCCCTGTCATTTCCTCATGGCAGTTTTCTCTATTTTACTTAGTTACACTGAAAAACATAAAGCAGAAACGTGTCTGAGAAAGATAGAAAAAATGTTTAGATCTCTGTCTCTCTTTTAAGTAAGAACTTCAGTTCGTTCTTTTTAAGATTTGAATCGTTGACTGCACAGTTTGGAAATGCCGTGCATGTCCAGTTCATTGTTGGACTAGAGAAATGACCAGTGCTGGTAATGCAGTTGTAGTTTTATGTGGCCCTCAAAAAGCCCTGAACAGTCTCCTCCACGCCCGCCGGAGCAGGTTTTCAGGGTCGGTGTGCTGCCTCCAGCCACTGCCTGTGCAGATTCACAAAGCCGCCCATGCGTGCTAATGCCATTTCCTTCCTGTGCCTGTCAGCTGACCATAGAAATAAAAATAGCTGCTTTCTATTTTTTGTTCCCTATTGAAAGTTGGTTGGACTGTATTTCAAGTACTTTCTCCAGCAAGTGGCTCTCTGCCGAGGCTTTTCCGTGACAGACAGTGGTGTAGGGTTTGTGGGCTTGTTTGCATGGTTCCCTCTTCACCTCACTGCTGACTCTGAATCCCAAAGGGATCCATGTTCCTAACCCAGGTCTCCAACCTCAATCACTTTCCTTTTTAAAGGTCTTGGGGGATTTCCTGTTGTCCTTTTATAGCCTTTTGTTTGCAACCAGCAGAGGCAGGCAGGCCGGCTAGGGTCTGCTCCCGGCTCCGCAGCTTCCAGCCAGCTGGCCATGTCCCCTTCTATTAAAGGGGCAGCAGTAGGACCAGCCTTGCAGGTTAATATGCAGAATGAGAAATACAATGAAATTTGTGTGTACTTCCAGGCAAAACCAAACATTTTACTATTGTAGTCAGGGGCTGGTAAAGGTTTTCTGTAAAGGGCCAGATGGTCTTTTCGGCTTCAGTAACCTGTCGTCTCTGTCAGAGCTGCTCAGTTCTGCCTGGACAGCATGAAAGCGGCCATAGACACTGTAAGTGACCGTTGCTCCTGGCGTTGTTCCAGTAATTCGTTTGTGAAAACAGACTGAGCCCAGCATGGTGGAACACACTTATAATCCTAGCACTTAAAAGGATTAGGAGTTCAAGGCCAGCTTCACCTGCATTGCAGGTTCACAGTTGGTCTGGATAATATGACACCCTGTCTCAAAAAAGCAAAAGAAAAGAAAAAACAGTGTAGCTTGGTTTGCTGGTACACATTTCTGCGCTCAGCACTGAAGAGGCTGGGACAAGAGAATCCCAGGCTCTAGAGAGTCTGGGCTACACAGTCTCTGTCTCAAAACAGACCAGAGACCCAGGTGATGGGCATAGTGGGACTAGGAACTACAGTCTGTTGACCCTGTCCAAGACTAATGAAAGGAACAACGAAAAAGATAAGGATATGGAGAGTATATTAAGAATTCTAGATAGCCAGGCGATGGTGGTGCACGCCTGTGATTCCAGCACTCAGGAGGCAGAGGCAGGCAGATCTCTGAGTTCAAGGCCAGCCTGGTCTACAGAGTGAATTCCAGGACAGCCAGGACTGCATAGAGAAACCTTGTTTTGGGGGGAAGGTGAGAGTTCTATTTAACTCTTACTTAAAGTGGATTATTGAGAATTAGGTTGACTTAAAGGCCTGAGTCTGCTGGCGATGTTAAAGGGGAGTTTCTATGCAGACAGGGACAGCTGGAGCCAGAGTGACCCTGGGTTGGGCTGCAGTTCGCCTGAACTCACTGACAGTTATCTTGTTATAACACACAGGCTTAAAGTCCACATCTGTATCACCCTCTGCTCAGTTAATGAACTCGCAGTGGAAATGTCAGCAACAGGAACCATTAAAGAGCATTTCTAGATGTGTCCTAAAGCCTAGCCTTTCTTGTTCAATTAGATACTAAAGAATAGCCTAGACGTGGGCTCGTGTGAGGCCCGAGTGTGACCCTTAGCACCACAACAAACCAAACAGCAAAAGCTACAGCCTTGTCCAAAATCTTATGAACTGTTTTGTGAGCCAGCTTTAAGGGCGATTTTTTACACAACAATTATTGTCTCGCTGTTTCTTTCCTATCAGACCATTGACAGTTACTGCTGTAGGGAGATTTTTCTGGCCTTTGGCCTTTACATCCAATCTATGTGCCTACGTCAGCCTCTAACCTTTACCACAGATGGGGGTGAGAACTAATTCCAGCTGTTTCGAGAATGTGCAGAGTGCAGAATATACCCCCTGCCCATTGTTGCCACTGATAACCTAACCAGCTTCCAAACTTCCTTTTTTAGAAACCGACTCAACAGGACAGAAAGACAGAAACCAAACTCCCGCTCCCACTGCCGCTCAGACTTCTGCTCCTTCCAAGTATCACCGAGCGCGATCCGGAGGGGCCAGAGATGAGCGGTACCGATCAGGTGAGAAGGAACTGCAAAGTTTTTCTGCCTGTAGTGCGAACTGTGTGCCCTGGGCAGTGCGGGCTGTGAGCCCTGGGCAGTGTGGACTGTGTGTCCTGGGCAGTGCGGGCTGTGAGCCCTGGGCAGTGCGGACTGTGAGCCCTGGGCAGTGCGGGCTGTGAGCCCTGGGCAGTGCGGACTGTGAGCTGTGAGCCCTGGGCAGTGCGGACTGTGAGCTGTGAGCCCTGGGCAGTGTGGACTGTGAGCTGTGAG